CTCCCCAAGAGTGGGGGACAAGCTTTGCCTCTCCCAACTGGCATCTTTCCTGATGCCTGTTGGAGAGGCGAGGTCCCTTGTTATACTTCCATGGGAGTCATGCCTCCTGTTGTTCAAAGATGCCCCATGTGCTTCTTTTGCTCTTTCAGGCACTGTCATTTGCCATGAAAATAGAATGACAGTGGAGTTTCCAAGCATTCTTGCCAACAAGACATGGCACACATCTGTCGTGGGTGAGTAACGTCTAATATTTCATCTTGGTCTTACTTAGTAGAAAGCCTTGGCTCAAGGCTGGCTCCACTTTTCTGGGGAGCAGAGCACACAAACTCTGGAGCCGTTGGTATCCAAATCCCATGATACACAGGCTCACTGAATTCCGTGATGCTTCCAAGAGTGGAAGACCTTCTCTTTCCTTGGAAATCTTTCCTTGGAAATCTGTCTTATCTCAGAATCCCCTAGGAAACTTCTATCTTCAAATCACAGCATCTGTCAGAGCTGGGGTTATATCACCCAGCTGGGAAAATAAAAAGTGAAGTGACTGACAGACCTTAGAAATGGATTGGCAGTCTTGGCTATGTAGCTTTGGTTGACTCAGTGTCACTGGAATGTACTTACTGGCCATCTCCTGTCTAAACTGCTCTCACTTCTGTAGATCCCCTTGGTCTTGAAATGCTGAACTGTACTTATGTTCTGGACCCAGAAAAGCTTACCCTGGAGGCCCCATATGAAACGTGTACCAAAAGAGTGGTAAGTAACTGTTTGAGGAGTGACGTGGGAAGTAGTAATCTAGGAGTTAAGGCTTTGGGATAGAGCAGAGGCTCTCAATCAGGGAGGTTTTGTTTGTTTGTTTATCATCCCAGAGAACATCTCGCAATAATTGGAGACAGTCTTGGTTTTCACAGCTGGGGGGGAGAAGAGGGGAAGGGCAGCTACTGGCATCTCGTGGGTACAAGCCAAGCATCTTGCTAAGTAGCCTCCTTGGCACACAGCAGCCTCCCATAAAAGACATTTTAGACCTAACGTGCCAGTGCTGAGGCTGAGAAACCCTGGAGTGGAGGCCTCGGTCTTGCTCTCTGACTCTGACACTATCTAGGTGTGATCTTGGGCAAGTTAGCTTCTCCTTGCCCAATGGAAAATGGATTTTGATAGCCTCTCCGTAAGGTATTTAATGATTAATGACACAATACAGATGAAGGTCTTGGCATAGCACCTGGGCACAATAAGTAATCAAACGTGATTTATCCTGATCTGTGACCCGCATGGGAAAGAGGAAGCTCTTTTGGTGCCGGCAGATAGAATGCTGGTAACTCTCTGCTGTAAAAATGTGTGTTGGAAGGCACGCAGCAGCTGAACAGGAGGATTTCCTCTTGTCAAGCAACAGTACTGCCCAATAAAAGCAATCTAAGTAGTTCTCAAACTTGTGTGTGCAAACAATCACTTAGGGAACTTAAAGCACTGAATTAGTTCATTGAGTTGATGACTTAATAGGTCTGGGATGTGTCCTAGAAGTCTGTCTGCCTTAATAGGCTACTTCATCTTATTCTATAGTGAAGATCTCCAGCAATTAAAACGTTCCCCTCTAAAACAGCCCTTCCCAACTTCAGGGAAGCTTAAAGATGCATTCCTTTAGATAAGAGGTCAGTAAACTACAATCTGTGAATGGCCATATCCAGCCCATGGTCTGTGTGATGGTCCTCCAGCTAAGAATGGTTTTTGTTAGCGTTTTTAAAACGTGTGAGAAATAGTATGTGGCTTACAAAGTCTAAATATTAGCATTTAACAACAACAAAAAGGTTGGCTAACCCCTACTTTAGGCTGGTGAGTTTCCTGAGCCAGGAGAAATAGCAAAATGGCTCTGTCCAGACCCAGCACAATGGTTGCTACATAGGTGCTCAATAAGTGTATTTGAATCTTTTGGTAGAGGCCCCAAATCAACCAGTAACTTGCTACTCAGACATCAACGTAAGAAGACAATAAAAACTGGACCCTGAGCTCTAACACTCAAGAACTGTTCTTTGCCAATGCATGCGTCTTTCCTGGATATCTAAAGAGGCTAGCTAGAGAGTCTCCTGGTAAAGAAATGAGGTATATTCTAGAACCTGGGGTACTGATAAACTTTAAGGGTTTTGTCAGTCGGATGGTATTCTGGAATTCCCTTTCTCACTTAAGCACTAGCATTCTGTTCTTACCATACCATTTTCTACAGCTTGGCCAGCACCAGATGACCATCAAACTCACGGACAACACTGCTGTTTTAAGACAAGATGGTCTCACGTATCAGGTCAGCTGTCCAGTGATGCAAGCAAACAGCCATGAGCAGCATTCAGGATCCACTGTCTGCACGAAGGATTTCATGTCTGTGAGTGAAGCAGGCTGACTGCCTTCTCATCTGGCTACTGCAGGGGAAATGTGGTCTAGACAGAGCTGGGCTTCAGAACAGGATCAGGATTGCAATCCTGTATTCACCACTGACTTGCTGTGTGGCTTTGGATTGATTGATTTCCGAACAATATTGAGAATTTGTTTCCAAATCTGAAGTGGGGGACAATTCACACTTCATAGAATGGCTTTAAGAATTGACTGAGAAAGTAGATAACAGTGCTCAGCACATCATGTCTAGCAATAAAAAGGATTCAACTGGTGTCTGCAATCAGTCGCTTGACCAGTTGGATACCTGTCATGCGCCAGGCCCTATGCCAGATGCTAGGATAGAGTAAATGAGCAAAAAAGCCCATGGACTTTATAGTCTAACATGGCTAACATCAACAATGAATAAAAATATTCATGCTTTATTATAACAATAACGGAACTGCATGGCTCGACACAGTACTTGATTTCTATGAACATAGTGAAAAGCTGTAAATTAAAGAATCTAGTATCTCAACTTACAACTGGAAGGGAGCTTAGGTCTTCCAACTGTCTTTTGTTTGTTCTTTTTCTAGTTCTTTTAGGTGGTAGGTAAGCTTGTTTATTTGAAATTTTTCTTGTTTTTTGAAGAAGGCCTGTACTGCTGTGAACTTCCCTCCTAGGCTGTTTTTGCTCCATTTCAGATTTTGTGTGGTTGTTTTCATTGTCATTTGTCTCAGGGGGGTTTTTAATTGTCTCTTTTATTTCATCATTGACCCATTGGTTTTTTAGTAGTATGTTGTTTAGTCTCCATGCAATTTTTTGTTTCTTTCTGTGATTGATTTCTAGTTTCACGCTGTTATGACCAGAAAACTTGCTTGAAATAATTTGTATCCTCTTAAATTTGTTGAGGCTTGTTTTGTGTCAGAGTATGTGGCCTATCTTAGGGAATGTTCCATGTACACTTGAAGGATGTGTACTGTTTTTTTTTGATATAATGTCCTGAAAATATCAACTTAAGTCTAACTGTTCTATAGTGCCATTTAGGATCTCTGTTGCCTTATCAATTTTTTTTCTGTCTGGGAGATCTGTCCATTGATGTTAGTGGTGTATTCCCACCAATTGCCTTTTGGTATCAAAAGCTCAAAGAGGAAATGATGTCTAAGGGCACTGCTAGGATTCATGCCTGATCCCATGCTTCTAAGACATCCAACAGCCAGGCTTTGCAGTGTAACAGAACCATGCAGCAGTTGCTCTGGGTGTTTTCCACATACTGTCAGGTAACATGACTTCAGCAACCTTCTCCAAATCAAAAACCTCACATCTTTTTGTCTTCCAGTTTACCTTTCACTTTTTTCCTGGCATGGCTGATGAAAATGCAGCTGCAAGAACGGTATGGAAGTTATTTTTAAATTACAAGCCTAAGTAAACTTTAGTTCTACATTAAAGGTGACATAACTTCAATCCTCATTAAAATATTAAATAGACAATAGTCCTGGAGTCAAGGGGAACATCATCCCTCTAAATGAAGCTTTTGACTTTAGGAATCCAAACCTCGGATGGGATGGACCATTACAGTTGGTGATGGTGAAAGAGCCCAAACTCTGACCTTTCAAGAGGCCATGATGCAAGGATATAATCTCCTGATTGGTAACCAGAAGATGAACGTCCAAGTGTCATTCCATGCCACTGGAGTGACTCACTACTCGGTGGGTGTGAACCTTTTTTAATACCACCACTCAGGCACAGGTCAAAATTTCTAAATCCAAGCATGATCTCAAACATGTCCTCAAATTAAGAATACAACTCACTCAACAGTTATCTCAGTGCCTACTATGCACCAAGTACTGTCTGAGTACTAAAGACTACAATGAGAACAAAACAGATGTGGTCCTTACTTCAATCTGTTCTCCCTCTTCCCCAGAGATCTAACTTTACTACACACTGTAGAACTAGGGTACTACAAAATTCCTTTATAAATTAAGATTTTCTGTTTTATCATTGTCCTCTGCTGTGTTTACAGTAGGTACTGGTGCTCTTTGGGCCAACAATCAAGGTACTATGTTAAATGAGTTAATGTGCCAAAGTACTTAGAACAGGTCTTGGTACCTACGTGCTCAAATGTCAGCCATTCTAACAGTCCTGCTGTGCACTGAGTATAAACAGACTGCTAAATCTTAAACATTCTCTCTGAATGCTGATACCATAAAGTGAATGCTGATACCATAAAATAGTCATAAAACAAGAGCTCATATCTCCCTAGAAATGATCAGCTACAGTAGGCACTACCTTATCAGATATTATAAAGTACAAAATTTTAAAACTAGAGCACCTGTTGAACAATTATTGGACAAAATGCCTAAATTCTACTTGAGCCAAAACAATGCCCAGTAGTTGAGTATGTTTACCCTGATTATTCTAACATTGGTTACAAATTAAAGTCATTCAGATCAACCAATGTCTTTGAAAATGCCTCTCCTCAGCAAGGTAACAGTCATCTCTACATGGTACCCCTGAAGCTCACGCATGTATCTCCTGGGCAGACGATCATCTTATCATCAAGAATCATTTGTATGTCAGGTAAGGGCCTAGGAAGGGGCAACTCCAGGTATGGGAGACATTTTCCTAGGGGCTTAATCAAAGCTGATCCCTCTCTCATTCCTTCTAGATCCTGTAACCTGTAACGCCACACACATGACTCTCACCATACCAGAGTTTCCTGGGAAGTTAAAATCTGTGAGCTTTGAAAATAGGACTATTGATGTGAGCCAGCTGCACCACAATGGGATTGATGCAGAAACAACAAATGGCTTGCGGTTGCATTTCAGCAAAACTCTTCTCAAAACAAAAGTATGTTCCATTATCATTCACTGAACTTCATGGAAGCATGACTGAAGCATAGCTTTTCAGGCCACCCTGATATAAATGCTGACTTGTCCATAAAGTCTAACTGCTGGTGTAAAATATTCAAGATTAGGAAGGCCTCATTTGAAAACCTTGCGTAAGTGAATTCTCAAGTAACTGAAATTCATTCTCGAACACCAAGCCTGTTTAACTGTAATGGAATTCTTCCTAGTTTTCCTGAGTTTCTCAATTCATTAGACAGTACAAACTTCTACCGAATAATGATGAACGTCTTATGCCCTATTAACACAGGGCAGCTTGATTCAAACAGGTGCCCCCAACTGTCCACATTGAGGCTGGTCTCAACTGGTACAATTGCCAGGGACACCAGAGCATTGTCAGGGATACCAGAGAATAATCTTAAGTTGGTGTGTGCTTTGCAATAACACTTGTAGAGTTCTTTTCACTCCTGGCTTGGCAAGGTATTCGGTCTTTGGAATTTGATCTGTTAATTCAACCTCTAGTGCCTAGTACAAAGAACATACAGTGTTGGGTCCTTGAGGGCATGAGTTTAAAGCAATAAATTTCCTGCCAAGAGAAGAAGGATCCTGGTCTGGAGAAGTGATAGGGTCTCTTGTTCTGACTTAAAGGGAGACCATATTAAGTCTGGAGTGTGCCTTGCAGGTTTCAATGTATTTCCTTCCTGCCTCTCTTGTGAGTGTTCTGGGTCCCAACCGGCTGTGGCTGCTAACTGACATTCTTTCATTTCAGTTCCCTGAAAAGTGCCTACCCTATCAGTTCTACTTACCTTCACTCAAGCTGACCTTTCACATTCAACTGGAGACTGTATCCATGGTGATTTACCCTGAGTGTCCCTGTGAACCAACAGTTTCTATAGGTAAAGACCACTTTTCTTGAACGGTTCCCTACATCCTCCTTCCCTCAGCTCTTGCCGAAGTAGGTAGAAGTTCGGACTCTGTACTGCTTATACTTGGAGGAAACGAAAGACTGGTTGGATCAGAAAATATCAGTCTAAGAGATCTAAGGAAGATACTAGTTCTAAAATATACATACAGGTAGGTCTCACAACAGTTTCATGTTTAGTAACCTGGGTCTACTGCGTGTTGGGAGCCCAAGGCCATCATCTAATCAAGATTGCCTTATACCTGAGACTAGAGAGACCACAAGTTTTTCCCCAAACTCCTGAAAATTTTTCAAAGAATATGGAAGTGGGTGTTTCCTCTTGTTCAGTACTGCCTCTGCCCCTGTGCTCTTGGGAGTCGCTGACCTGTATCAAGTCAAGCCAAATAGGACAAATTAGTTGCTGCTTCAGCTTCCCCCTCAAACCACTCAAAATTTGTGAGTCTTGGAGGAAGGGACATAATGGCACAAGGTGCTTAGACTTACAGCCTCATCAGGGTATTATCGTGGGTCTGTTACCCAACCCGGTGCTTCTTCCCACGTTTCCTGCTCCCTCTTCACTTGGATGAAAAATCCTTCTGCTCATACAGAGCCACCTCACTGGTGCCTAGGCACCTTCAAGTGTCTCCCCTTGTAACTCAAGCTGCTTATCAAGGTGTTTTCCCAAACAAAGATTTAAGCTGCTTATCAAAGTGTTTTTCCCAAATGAAGATTTAAGCTGCTTATCAAAGTGTTTTTCCCAAATGAAGACTTATGACACATTCTAGTGTCTCATGGTAAAAATCCAGACTTTCATCACACTTCAAGGTTGGTAGAGGACGTGGCAGACAAATTGTTTTAAAAACTCTCACCCCTATCTAGTTTCAGGTGAGCTGTGTACTCAGGATGGGTTTATGGACGTGGAGGTCTACAGCCACCAGACAAAACCAGCTCTCAACTTGGATACCCTCAGGGTAGGAGACTCCTCCTGCCAGCCAACCTTCAAAGCTCCATCTCAGGGGCTGGTACGCTTTCGCATACCCCTGAATGGATGTGGAACAAGACGTAAGGTTAGTAGCAGCAAGGGGTTAAGCAAGGAGTTAAGACTTACTTTTGAGATAACTGATTAACCACTCTCTCTAACCTTGCTCTAATTTTAAGTTCAAGAATGACAAAGTCGTCTATAAAAATGAGATACATGCTCTCTGGGTGGATCTTCCTCCAAGCACAATTTCCAGAGACAGTGAATTCAGGTGTGACACAATCACTACTTGACTTTTTAAGCTCCCGTTTAAACTCAAGCAGTCTTTTAACCTAAAATTCTTAACACTCACCCACCCATTCTTACAGAATGACAGTGAGATGCCATTACAGCAGCAGTAACGTGCTAATAAGTAGCAGTGTTGAAAGTCTTCCTCCTCCAGTGGCCTCAGTGAAGCCAGGTCCACTTGCCTTGACCCTGCAGACCTACCCAGGTGAGACTTTATAACCTAAAACATCTGCTTAAATACTTTCAGGAAACTCTTCCCTAAAATGAACTTTTTTATTGTTGTAGTCTGTTTACAATGTATATACACACACATACACACCACATCTTCTTTATCAAATCATCTGTCAATGGACATTTAGCTTGCTTTCATGCCTTAGTTATTGTAAATAATGTTGCTGTGAACATCAGGGTATATGCATCTTTTCGAATTAGACTTTCCTCCAGATCCATGCCCAGGAGTGGGATTGCTGGATCATAGGGTAAGTCTGCAAAATGAACTTTCTGATGCCACCAGATGAGAGCATTAGTAATGCTCAAGCGCCTGTAGTGGCCATCAACTACCTGAGAACTGGAGAGGCTTCTACTCCATTTCAGATAACTCCTACCTGCAGCCCTATGGGGACAAGGAGTACCCTCTGGTGAGATACCTCCGCCAACCGATTTACCTAGAAGTGAGAGTCTTAAACAGGACGGACCCCAACATCAAGCTGGTCTTAGATGACTGCTGGGCAACGCCCACCGTGGATCCAGCCTCTCTCCCCCAGTGGAATATTGTAGTGGATGGGTATGTACTCTCGACACAAAGTAGACCAGCTGATCACTCAGACTGCCAGTAAAGAGAATTAAAATGCATTTGGGCTTGAGAGAAGTGCTATATCAAAGGCCCTGATTTTTATCCTTGTTTCTTAGCAAACAGTCTTTGATCTAATTTATGCTTTCCTATTATCCTTGAATCTAAAAGAATAGGATCCTTCCCAAGGAAATCTGGCTTTAATCCTCTGTTATCTGGAGAGAAAATAAATACCTAGTTCCTATACATTTACTGAATACCTACCCTGTGACAAGCATTGTGCTATGTCCTCCACGTGCATTTGAACCTCACTCCATAAGAGACACAGGTCATTTCACTTCATGAAGAAACCCAAGCTTGCTGCTTAAATAACTAGCCCAAAGTAATATTTAATAAATCGTAGGATTTGAATGCCCATCTGATTCTAGACCCGAACACCATGATGCTCTGAAGTTGTGACAACACCCACTCGTGTGCTGGCAAAGTGGAGAGGACCAGCACCTGCAGGGGTCTGTACCTGGGTAGCACTGTACTTAGTTGTCTTTAAAGCTGTTGTAAAAATGAAGCTGTTGTAACCTGCTAAGCTTGTAATCTCCAGGTACACTCCTGCCAGGTACACAGGACCGTGTGTAGCCAGCACATTCATGCAGCTCATTCCTTCAGTCCATTAAAATTTTACTCAAATATCCCCTTCTCTTTTTTTTAACGTTTTTTTTATTGATTTATAATCATTTTACAATGTTGTGTCAAATTCCACTGTAGAGCAAGTGTCCCCTTCTTTTTGAAGCTACCTTGACCCTCCTGCCCCCTTACCTTGGTCTAACTCTTCTTTCCTAAGTGCTTACATACAACCTAACATACTACTTTGCAGCTACCACCCTCTGCTAGCATCTAAGATATAAAAGGGCACATCTCTACCTTTTTTTTGTTACCAACATATACTAACTGCCTGGGATATAATAGACACTCAGATTAATAAGAGTTAAACCAGTGTCATCTGAAGAGCTACACATAAAACTTAATTCTTGATG